TGTCCCCTCCTCATCCTCGTCCTCACCCTCATGCTCCTCTCTCCCGCAGTGATCTGGCGGTTCGTGCAGGGCAGGAAGAGCAGCCGCAAGGCCGTGCTGCTGCTGGGCCTCTGCGACGCGGGGAAGACGCTGCTTTTCGCGCGGGTGAGTGGGGAGGGCGCGGGGGCCTCTTGTACGGAGGTGATGGAGTTCCCTTTAGTTCGGTTTTTAATCTTTTAATGAAGCTTGAAAGGTGGGGTTTATAGCTGTAAGGAGGGATGGAGGGCGAGTTTTGTCCGCCACGGAGTGTCCAAAGAAATTGTGTCTTGGTTTGAATTTGTCGTAGTAAAAGTTTTAGAGATACTTGACCTCACCGCAGTCTGCAGCTCCAGTCTCGGGGACCAGGGACAGCACCCGAGGGAACGGCTGGAGCTGTGCCAGGGGAGCTGAGGTTGGACATCAGGGAGAGGTTCTTCCCCCAGAGGGTGCTGGGCACTGCCCAGGCTCCCCAGGGAATGGGCACAGCCCCGAGGCTGCCATCGCTCCAGGAGAGTTTGGAGAACACTCTCAGGGATGCCCAGGGTGGGATTGTTGGGGTGTCCGTGCAGGCCAGGGGTTGTGCTGATGGTCCTGGTGGCTCCCTTCCAGCCCTGGATATTCTGTTACTGCTAAGTCTGAAAAGGAAAGGGACACAGCCATGCTTACCATGGTCCCAGCTGGAAACTCTGCAGGATTTGCAGGCACACTCTCTTCCTTCTTGTTTCAGTGGAGATTCACAATATAAATTTATACTCATTTTCCTCATGACCGTTTATTAACTAACCAGGGAAAGTGACCCCAGGTGTGGTTTCCTGCAGGAAACTGCCATCAGATCCCTGCTGCCATTACCCCAGTGAGACCATTTTGGTTTCTGGGGAGGCTGAGCTGGGGCTGGGGCTGGGGAGCCTCTGGGGCTGCTGGCTCTGACGCTGTGCCTTCCCCCCAGCTGCTGTCGGGGCGCTACCGCGACACCCAGACCTCCATCACCGACAGCTCTGCCGTCTACAGGCTCAGCCAGGACAAGGTGAGTGCCCTGCCCCAGCCCTGGGACAGCCTTTTCCTGCTCCCCCTGCTAAACCTGGGAAACTTCTGAGCTGCTCAGGCCGCACTTGGAGTGCAGGGCAGGATTTTTCCAGGCAGTGCACACTGAGATGTATAACGTATTACTGGGCTCCACGGGTTCTTTTTCACTTTGCTTGTAAAATAGTGAAACATTTCTGACTGAAAACCACACCTCTGGGTTGGGAGATCTGGGGGTTTCACTGTTCTGTTGCTATTTCCTCGGCAGTAATTCCTGTTTCTGCCAAGAAAACCTGAAATTAAAAGCTTTAGCAGGTTTGAGCAGAGGCTCCAGCTGGACTTTATATGGTCTCAGAAAGGATTTTGTTATTTTTAGGTCCACAGATCTGGTAGTTTTCAGTTTTTGGCAATTCTTTCATTCTGGAAATCTCCTGTGCTGGATGCACACGTGGCAGGGAGAGCAGAATGCTGGCAGCACCTTAACTGCTGGTGAATTGTGAAAGTAGAGGGAGGTTTTGTGGCTTCAGCTTCTCAGTCACTATTAACAACAGTGATAAAAAGGTTAAAAACTTTGTAAAATAATGTGCAGGATATTTGAAAAATTTTCCCCATTTTTGTGTCTCTTTAATTGAGCAGACAACTATTTGCAAAGTGCTTTTTTGGTTCTTTTTTTAATCCTAGCCAAGGTTTCCAGTGAAATCCAAGGAAGGGGCTCCTGCAGCCTTGCCTGGGGAGCAGTGACGTGGCCCTGCTCGGCCGTGTGTTCTCTCCCATGTCCTGGCTTTGGCTGCTCCCTTTCCTGGCAAGGGAAACCTTTGCAGCCTCCAGTTAAAAAAGGCTCTTTCAAAGACACTTTTGTGTTATTCCCAGCGAGGTTTGGAGTATTTGGGGAGGCTTGGTGTGTGTGAGTAGGTGAGGCTGTTATGTTCTGTGTCAGGGCAGATGGGGTTGTGCCTTCAGGACACAAATCCAGGGTCAGACTGCTTTTCCCCAGTCCTTGATCACAGGAACCCCCAGATCAGGTGTTGTTAATTCCTTCTTGCCTGTGTTCCAGAGCACTAATGTGACCTTGATCGACCTTCCAGGCCATGAGAGCCTGAGGCTGCAGTTCCTGGAGAGGTTCAAGGCTGCAGCCAGGTAACCTGGAGGGGATCAGCAGGGCAGGAGGGGGCAGGTGATCCTTTGGAAAGGGATAAACCAAATGATGGTGCTGGGAATGCTGTGAGCTGGGCTGGTGGTGCCCCCCGAGTCAGAGCTCTGCTGTGGAGTGCTGCTGGTTAATTTTTGCTTTGCCTTCATAGAATATCCTGATTGGGAAGGGGCCCACAAGGATCATCGAGTCCAGCTCCTGACCCTGCACAGGACAATCCCAAAAATCCCACCATGAATTCCCTCTTCCTGTGCTTGTGGTGCACCAGGAGGCAAAGCCTCTGCAGGAGGGAGGTCTGGGGGCTGTGGGATATCCTGGGGCACACAGGGGAAGAATTCCTGCTGGAGCTGGGGCTGGCCATGGGATGTATTTCATGGGATGTATTTCATCCGTGCTGCCAGCCTGCCTTGGGCTGGCTGGGACCAGATGTGAAAATCTCAGCCCAGGCTGGAATACTTGCAGGGGAAGGTGACTGCAGAGCTTCATCCCCAGCACCTGTCCTTCCCTCTTGTCCCAGGGCCATCGTGTTTGTGGTGGACAGCGTGGCCTTCCAGCGGGAGGTGAAGGACGTGGCAGAGTTCCTGTACCAGGTGCTGGTGGACAGCACCGTGCTCCGGAACGCGCCCGCGCTGCTCATCGCCTGCAACAAGCAAGGTACCTGGGCTGGGCCTGGCCACTGCTGCAGGGCTCTGCCACACCTCCTGAGCCTGGGATTGCAGCTGGGAAGGCTGGGATTTAGGTTTAAACTCTGACTGCTCAGCTGGAGTGTTTGGAGGACTGCCTGGAAGAGCTGCAGCTCTTTGGGTGGGTGTAGGTGATGCAGGGGGATTTTGTGTGGCTTTTTGTTTCTGCTGGCTTTGTGCAGAGCTGTTCCTCGGTCTCCAGGCAGCAGGAAGTAGGATCAGTTGGAGCATAATGAACTATCCCTACACACTCAGCAGTTCAAAGTTATCCAGCTGCCACGGTTCCATGTTTTTTCTGGAGTAACCAGAATACCCAGCTACTGGAATAGACTCGATTTTCAAGTTCTACAGTGAAAGTGTGGGTCCCTGTGTAACAGTTGGGTTTTTTGGGGCACTATCAGATCTGGGTTTTGTAGTCATTTCCTGCCCTAGGTCAGGAATTGCCTGAGGCCTTCATGGCTCTTGTGTGTCACGGGTGGAAAGCACAGGACAGGAGGGAGTGCTGGTGCATCAAACCCATCCTCTGAAGTATCTCCTCAAACCCATCCTCTGAAGTATCTCCTCAAACCCATCCTCTGAAGTATCTCCTCAAACCCATCCTCTGAAGTATCTCCCTGCCCAGCAAGAAGTTAATTCCCTGTTGTACCAGACTGTTGGGTTGTTCCCATTCATGCCTGCAATCCCAGAGCTGCAGCATCCCTCATCCCACTGCAGGCACGGCTGTCCTTGTCCTGGTAGCTCCAGTGAGGGCACAGTATGAACTGGCCTTACTTTAGGGGGAGGATCCAGGTTGTGAATTTTGACAACCAAAGAGCTGATTTCTTTATTTTCTCTCCAGATGTCACAATGGCAAAATCAGCAAAACTCATCCAGCAGCAGCTGGAGAAAGAGCTGTAAGTATGGAATGGGATCTCAATCCCTCTGAGCTTTTCTTCTTGTCCTTTTTCTCTTACCTCAGTGCTCAGTGAGCTCCCTTGAGCCGTGTCTGAGTTCCCTGTGGAGCTGGGAACAGTCTGTTTGGTCTGGGGCTTGGCAGTGCTGGGTTTACAGTTGGACTCCATGGTCTTAGAGGGCTTTTCCAAGCTAAATGATTCCCTGGATCTATGAGCCCTTTGGCCAGCAGACGGCAGCAGGGGTGTTTGTGCTGTGCCTCCTCCAGGCTGAATACCCAACCTCCTGGTTTTTAGCAGAGGAGTTAGTTGCCACACATTCACGTTCTCCTGGAAAATAGGGGTTGCTTGTGCTGATGTTGAGCATTTGCCAACTACCTGTGTGTAGGTGTTGGATTTCTAGGTAGTTGTTGTGGCCTGTTAGGCACTGTTACTCCAGTGTTTACCATGGGCAAATTGGGATAAGGACATCATCATCATCATCTGACTTCTGCTGTCCTTTATTACAAAACTAAACCTGTTTGAACACCTCTCCTTGAGTGCTTTCCTACTCCCTTGAGCCTCTGCCCTTGTGCCTTCCAACAGTGGCCAAAGGCCTGGCTGAGCCTCACAGGGCAGAGCTGGGCCCTGTGTCCTTGGTGTAGCTGGCATGCTGCTGACCCCCCAGACATCCCAGAGCCTTGGTGCAGGTGATGCTCCCTTGTTCCCCAGTTCCTGACCCTTTCCCTTCTCTCCCTGCAGCAATACCCTGCGGGTGACACGCTCTGCAGCCCCCACCAGCCTGGATGGCTCAGCCACAGGGGGCCCTGCCCAGCTGGGGAAGAAGGGCAAGGACTTCGACTTCTCCCAGCTGCCCATGAAGGTGGAGTTTGTGGAGTGCAGTGCTCGGGGCAGCAAGGGAGAGGAGGGAGAGGCTGACTTGGAGGGCCTCGAGAAGTGGCTGGTGAAGGTGGCCTGAAGAGAGATGGACAGGGCTGGGGGGCTGAAGGGAAAAAGATGGTCTGGAGCACTCAAATATCATCTTGGTGTGAAAAGAAGGAACTTCAGCTGGAAGTCAGCACTGTGGTGTCTTCTTCTGCTGCTCATGGGCTTGGGAGAGACATGACAATTGCTGGTGTGATTCCCTCTGGCTGTCCCTTCATGCTGCAACGTTTTTATCCTCTCCCCTTTTCCCTTGCCCTCCTCTGGGCTGCTGAACCTCTGGGCTTTTCTTTTCCTCAATCTTTAGGCTTTTCATCCGGTAGTTGCCAAGCAAATTAGGAAGGAGTGCACTGGCAGGTGAGTTTTAGAGACTGGAGTGAGCCTGTCCTTTCCTGCCGTGGTTTACACCCCTGTTGCCTCTCAGAGCCACTGACCACCTCATGGTTGGGGCTGCTGGGGAGCATGCACAGGCTCCCTAAGTTGGGCAGGCATTGAGAGAGCATAAAAAGCTGGTTTCCTCATTGTGTCTGCCTTCCCATTGTTCCAAACTGGTGCAGCCCCATTTCTGTGGGGCAGGAGGAGTGTGAAATGCCCAAACCAGACTGCCTGCCCTGCTTTACTCCCTGGGCTCAGCTCTGTGCCCATGTCTGGTGATTCCCTCTCTTGATCAGCTCCTGGGAGTTTTTCTTCAGCTGAGGGCTGTGTCCTGGAAGCTTCACTCTGCTTCTCCTTCCAAGCTCTCCTCCCACAGCCAGCAACAAACACTCTAAGAGTGGCAGAGCTACAGGGGATCATGGCATGAAGCTGTGAGATGGGCACACTTCCAGATCTGTACCTGCAGCTGGGACCTGCCAGGCATTTGCTGTGCAGTCTCCTGCTGCACTGGCTGCAGGAAGGACTTGCTTTGTGTGTAATTAATTAGTCAGCACTTAGGGCTGAGTGAGAGGGAAAGTCAAGGAGCTGCCAGCACGTGAGTGCTTCCTCCTTGTGGCTTCCTCCTTGTGGCAGGGGTGCTCAAGGAACAGGGGAAAGAGAGGGGAGACTTTCCCACTTTTGTGTCTCACTGCGCATTGGAGGGTTCCAGTGCAGTGACATTTTCCCTTTGTAGCTTCCCCTGCTGTTTTAGGGCTGGGGGGTGGCTGGCTCCTGGCAGACCCTTTTTGTAGTTTGCAGCCCACTGTCCCCTGTGGTTTGAGTCCTCCTTCATCACTCAACTCATCTGTTGTGTACTTTTCCTTCTCTGGGGCTTTTCCTGCCTCCCTGCAGTATTGCCAAGTGTTGGGAAGAGCAGGAACAGCCTTCAGCAAAGCCCTGTGCCTGTAATGAAGCTGGTCCTTGCATTTCCAGCCTCAGGAACCATCCGTGCAGGAGGTGGGGAGGGTTTTATTTACCAAACATGTTACATTCTTCTGTTTCCTGCAGGCAGAGTCCTGTTGGAGCATGTTTGTCATGCTTTGAACTCCTTTAGCTGGAGGTCTTGGGCTGCCTGCTTCAAATCCATAATGCTGAAATGATTTTGGGTAAAAAATTGCTGTTTCTTTGTGTGATTGTTCTTGCAAGGATGCAGAAGCCAAGCACCAGCCTCAGCTTAAGTGGGGGGAGGTACCATGAGGCCATGGTGGGTTTTAAGTTATTTTTAAAAGTATTCCTTAAGTAAATTCTTTTATGCTTAAATGTTTGTTCTCAAGTCTTGCTTCAGTCTGTGTGTTTGGCTTGGCTCTTCCCAGGGTGTCAGATCCACATGGATGGGGCTCTGCTCCTGCTCAGCACAGTGCTGGGTATCAGCCTTCCTGCTCTGTGGCCAGGTCTGTGTTGTCAAAAAACTTTGTTTTCTGCACACAGAGGGCTTTGGGGTTGAGGTTTTTTTTTTGGTTTTGTATTTCTTGGTCCGACTAATTGAGAAATTGATAATCACCTAGCAAAAAATGCCCACAAATCATAATTGAAAGGCACCTTGGTGATGTGCACAGGGAAGCTCCAGCCTGCTGTGGTGGCAGAGCACACTGCTCTGCCCTGGAGGTGGCTGTGGCACCCTGTGGCTGTGCTGGATGGAGATGAGATGCCTCAGCTTTCCTGGGCTGGGGAATGGCTGCATGGCCATGGCCGAGCTGGGGCTGTGCCCAGAGCCACTCGTGCTGAAGCACAGAGCAGAACTCCAGGAGTTTTTTGGGCCTCACTGTGATTTTTTAAATATTTAAATACTCAGGGCTGGTTTTCCCCAGTGGCTGAGGGAAGAGAGCAGAACTGGAAACTCTGAGTGTTGTTTTCTTGTTTTTCTTGATTCCCCAGTCAGCTCTGTGCTTTGTTCTTTGCTCTCCTGACCTTGTTCCCAGCCCGTGGCTCTGCTGGCTGGGAGTGCTGCTCCTGAGGCTGCAGCTCGGTAGGGCTGTGTTGGGATGGCTTTGGCAGGACAGTGGGATGTGATAAACTCAGCCCCTTCTTGCTGCAGCTGCCTGACCCTGAGTCAGGAACCCTCTGTGTTCACACATCCCCAGGGACTGAGGCTTCACTGTACTAAAGCTCTTTTGGTCAATGTTTTTTGCTATGGATTGTACTCCAAATTGTTCCCCTGGAAAAGGCAGATGTTTTTGGAGGAGAATGACGAGCACAGTGATAACTGGGATAGCAGAAAACCTGAAAGAGGAGGAGAGATTGCTGAAAGGCAAAGAAAAGCAAAATTAACAATGCCTGGACATCAGGATCCAGGGGGTGGTTCCCAGGGCTCCTCAATGCAGGTGTTCCAGCTGTTACCTTCCCTCTGCTCAGAGCCACCACCCTGACACCTTTGTGGTCAGGAGCTTCTGCTTCTGGAGCTTCTGGCCCCATTTGGGCCACCTCGTGCCCTTTGTGACCATCCCCTCCTGGGGTTTATCCTGCTGGGTGTTACTCCTGGTGTGAAAGAAGTGGAGAAAGTTATGGAGGGTCAGGTGGGTGTTCAGGGGAAATGTGCCAGGTAGAGGTGGAACAGGAATAGGGTTAACATGGAGAGAGCTCTTTTTTGTGAAGACTTTGGTGATCCAGAGCAAACCCAGGACAGGTCTGCTCCTGTCCTCCTTTCCCTTGGCTCTCTCCATGAACATGGATGCAGCAGGGCCACGACCACAGGGAAAAGCTATGGGGTAAGGACAGCAGGGCCTGAATACATTCTACCCATAAAATCCTTGAAACAAAGCCCCAAACCCACTGCACCTTGCCCAGAGCCCACTGCATTGAAAAAATGACAGGATTTTTAAGTAACTCAGTAGCTGGACTTGTTAGGCTATGGGTCGAACTTGATATGAACCCTAAGGCTGTGCTGTGTCAGGCAGAGATGGATCAGAAGGAAACCAGGAGCTGACAATCTGATCAATAATAATTGTAAAGATCATTAATAATAGCTAGACTAGGCAAAGCTGCAGTTAAAATATTACTTTAAAATGCTGGAGCAGATTGTGGTTTGTGTACTGGAACACAGAATGGGCTTCCATCAGTGTGGACTAACAGAACCCACCCACCAAACCCTCACCCAAACCCACCTGAGGGGTGTGAAACAACCAAAACAGCAACTCGGTGAAGGGTGAGAAGGACCCCAGGCTCTTGCTCTGCACTGTGGTGTGAGGGAGAGGGTATGAAGCTTTTTAATTGCCAGGCATTTCTTTGTTCATGATCCCTCCTCTGAGGCACCAGAGGGGCAGCTGAATACCAGAACTGATCTGTGCCAACAAACCCATGGGGGATGAGAACCTCAGGTAAAACCTGCTGTGCCTGCAGCCCCTGCCTGTATCCCTGTGCCCATCAGGGAGATGCAGGCAGGGCTGGGCAGGTTCCGTGGGACTGCAGGCAGGGCTGGGCAGGTTCCGTGGGACTGCAGGCAGGGCTCCTCAGCCATCCCTGAGCTCCGTGTAGCCCCTACCAGCCCTCCCCCATCACCGGTGGAGCTTCAGAAGAATGTCCCCCTCTGCCACCATTTTTTCCCCTTTCCCAGCTGGAATGTGCTCAGCACGGGCCAGGCTGTGAGCTGCAGCCTGCCCAGGGCTTGCCTTGCTGGTGGGGGCAGACCAAGAACGCACCGCGGTTGGAAAAGTGACCTTTATTTAAAAAATAAAAAGAGCAACAAACCCCAGATGTTCTGCAATAAACCCCTTGTGCTGTCTTGTCCCAACACGTGTGTGGTGTCCCTGCTGACCTCCGTGGGGGCTGCGGCCGGGGGGACACCTGGCAGCCACCTCCCCTGCTCCTGTCCCAGCCGGGAAGGCACCTCCCGGCCGGGAATGTCACTCCGGAGCGGGACCATCGCCCACAGCAGGCACTTCTCCGGGTCCCTGTGTTCCAGCCCCCTCTGCCTCCTGCTCAGCTGGCCGGGGCTGCCCCTCCCCAGGGAGACGGGCGAGCGCGGCTGGAGAGCCCGGGCGATGCCATTCCCAGGACGGGGCTGGCCCGGAGCATCCCTCGCCGGGAGCACCTGGGCTGCGGGAGGGGAGCTCGGAGCTGCGGAGTCGCTCCCGTGGGAAGTAAAACAAACCCAAACAAGACAAAGTAGTGGCAGTGGGTGATGGGGGTGCGAGTCAGTCCTCGGGGGCTACACCAGCCCCGCCGCCTTCTCCTGCACGTTGTACTCCTTGCTCCTCTTCACCTTCCAGCCGATGAGGGCGAGCAGCACGGTGCCCACCACCTTGTAGCCCACCTGCAGCCCCAGGTATCTGCCGGGAGAAGAGCGGGGACATGCCACATCTGCAGCTGGCACTTCCAGCTGGGCTGGGGCCCCTGCCCTGCCCGGGGCCGGGGCACAGGGTACCTGTTCCGGAGGAAATCGTTGTTGTAGTAGGCGCAGAAGCGGCCCGGGGTGCACTGCTGCTGCTGCCAGTAGATGCAGGAGGAGTCGATGAGGGCTCCGAACATGGCTGGGGCCGGCAGCCAGGCTGGTGGGAGAGAGATGGAGTCAGGTGCTGATCCCGAGGAGGTTCGGTGCCTCCCGCAGCTCCAGCAGCTCCCCAGCCTCATTCACAGACGAACACTCACCCAGCAGTCTCATCAGTAAGAACTGGACTCCAATGGCGAATGACTTCTCATCCTGGTTCACCACCCTGCAGGGGAGAAGCCACAGGAGGTCAGAGCTGCTGGCCCTGGATTTGGCCAAGATTTGGGCTGGTTGCACGTTTATGGCATCCCGTTGATCCCAACATGGGGAGCCATCCTATCGGCTCCCCCGGGACTGAGGACCCTGCACACCACTCACCGTAACACCATCATGTAGAGGGGGTTGTGGGACAGGCAGGCCACCAGGGCAGCAAAGGAGATGAGGAATATGGCAGGAAGGAGCATATGGGAGCAGCTGACTGGACAAGAGCCCGTGTAGGTGGAGAACAGCTCATTCCCATTCAGGGAACAGTTGTGGTAGATCTGTTGGAAACGTTTGGAACAAAACAGACGTCAGACTCCCAGCGCCTGGAGCAGCTTTCTCAGGACGAATCATCCCACATCCCTGTGCAGGACACCCATAAGAGCACCAGCTCCAGTTTTAAGGCACAGCCATGGCATTCTGTAATGGGATTTACCACCATCCCTGTTCCTCCAAGCAGATTCCCAGGGCCTTACAGCAATTCTCCAGGGCACCCTCCCAGGGCTCAGCACACCATGTGGAAAAGATTCCACCCCCTTATTGCATTTGTTGGGCTCCTGCAGCATCACTCCACTATTCCCAACAAGGCTGCTTTGCTAACCACTTGCTTTACTCACCGTTTGTCTGGGGTTGGAGGGGTTGGTGGTGCTGTTGGTGCAGCCAGCGAAGCAGGGTGAGATGTATTCCGTGGTGTTTTTCCGGCACACGGGGTGGAAGATCTGCTTAGAGCATTGGCACCCAACCCGTGCCTTAACCTGCTGCTGGGAATTGGGTGTGCTGCCAGAAAGGAGGGGGGAGAAATTAGCAAAAAATTAAGAAATAGGACAGGAGGAATTAAAAAAAAAAAATCCCTTTTACTAGTTGAGCAGTTTTCCTGTTCCTGTTTGGGCTGGGACACTGCCAGCAGCAGCCTGGCCTTCTGCCAGTCCCTGATCCCTGCAGGTACCTCTGGAAGCGTGCAGTGAATGTCACAGGAATTATGTTATGTCTACAAACAAGTACTGACACACTTCTTTTATCTTTTTTTCTTTTTTTTTGTTTTCCTCAGCTGAAAATTAATCGGCCAAAAGCCTGTAGAAATGGACCTGGGCTTCATCCAGAGCTGCACAAACAGATGTGTGAACAGCCACAGCTGGAAACACCACATGGACACAAACTGAAAGTGGGCATGTTCCCAAACAAGCCTGATGGCTGTGGAAGTGAAGAGGACAAACCCAAATCTGCCCTGTCTTCCCTCATTCCCCCATCTGCTGGAGTCATACAGCCTGAATCCGGCAGGAATGTGGCACTGGGGAGCTGCCCATGGGTAGGGTGGGATGAGGCTGCTCCACCCCATGTGGGAAGATGGCATCAGAAGTCTCTTCCTTGCTGGCAGTGCTCTGGGAAATGAGCTCAATGCACTTGACATCAAGCCTTGGTCGTACACAAATGTAATTTTTATCTTAGGAAGTCATGGTAAGAGCTAAAAATATGCACTGAGGTGAGGAGAAAGATGATGTCCAGCTGGAACACTGGGAGCGTGTGTAGTGATGTGGACACAATGTTACTAATTTTCCCCTAAAAATCCAGAGTGAAAAATTACACCCTGCTTGTTTGGCCCAGAAAATCATGGATAAACGCCCTCCCAAGCTCTCTGGGCCGTGGAGCACCCGGATCTCCTCCATGCAGTGCAGATCAAGGAGCAGCATGGTGATATCTTCTGCCTCTCCACCTGCGTGTGTCCCTCCCCACGGATAAGAGCTGGAGAAACGAGGAGCTGGGAGCAGCACCTGCATTACCTGGGGTGGTAGATGCCCTCAATGTGCCCTGTGGAGCAGCCCATGAAGAAGATGGGCAGGCAGATGAGGATGGAGAAGACGAGCACCACCACGGCAAAGCGCGGGATGGCGCGCAGGGAGAAGGAGAAGCGCTTCATGATGATCCCTCCCAGCAGCATCCCGAGTGCTGCTGCCGGCAGGTTCACAGCTCCTGCAGGGGAACGGAGCCTTCAGGGGGGTCCTGCCTGCCCAGAACCCCTCCATGGGCAGGGGGCAGCTCTCTGGACCCCACAGGAGTTGGGAGAACCCGCAGATCCAGCTGTTGTCCAAGACAGCCCAAACCCAAGGCAGCTGTGGAACTACAGGTCAGGAAAGTCACCCACTATCCCAAGGTGAGCCCCAGGTCTCATCCAAAAATGAGCTTTCACAGGCTTCATCTCCAGGATTTTAAGAGCCTGGAGAATATGGGCAGTTGGCTCCCTGCTGATGGATATTTTTTGCTTCCCTCTGTGCTCACCTATAAGGAAGTTGGCCTGGGAGGGGGAGGCACCGTACTGCTTCTCCAGGAATTTGTTGAGGAAGGTGGCCAGACCCGCAATGACGGAGGAGAAGCTGCACTGAGCCAGCACCAGGAGGATGAACAGGGGGTTGAGCAGCAGCCTGAGGAAGATCTTTGGGAATCCTACAGGGAAACAGTAGGAAAAATGTCTTTTGGCCATGTGATCCCTACGCCAGCAATTTGTACTAGCAATAAACGCCCACCCTTAGCCTGTTCCCAGTAAGGATGTCTGTGGGATGATGATGATGATCTACTGGAGATGTCTGTGGATATGGGAAAGCAGGAGGGGAGACACCCTAATGTGTCCCAGCAGCTGGCAGCACCATGGATGTGTTTTCCTGGTGGGACATTGTGTCCTCTGGCCCCATCAACAGAGGCAGATGGACCCTGGGAGCAACTCTGTTTATTTGGTCTCTTATGAGTTTTCTAATTAGCAGAGAGTGGTGGAGAGCCAGCATCCATTAAAGGCCAAAGAGAGGAGAAGAGGGAACTGACAGCTCCAGGATGTGACTGCAGTGGAGGAAGAGGCAAGGAGGGAGGGGCTTTATCTGGGAAGAAATCCTCTGGAGCTAAAGAGTCATTAATCTGGTCCCTCAGCAGTGACATCCCTCTCAAGCCTCTTTGGCTCCACATAAACAGGGTCAGCTGCAGTGGAGTGACCTCGTGGAGGAGCTGGTGGCGCCGGCAGCGCCATGCCCACTCCTGGAGCTGGGGTTAAACCTCCCAGAGACCCTTTTCTGGCACACTGTACCACTTTAAGGTCCTCAACACAAAATTCGGAAACAATTCAGGCCCCAAAGAAGAGGGGCCTCAAGAGGGAGGCTGTGCCCACCTTCCCTTGGTCCTTAGGCCCTCGTGGTGCCAGAGCTGCTCCACACGCGGTGCTGGGCTCCCCAGGACTCCCAAGAAGCCCCCCTGGTGTGAACCTGCTGCTGTGGTGGTCCCCACCCGCCACCCCCCATGGCACAGCACGGCCCAGCATCCCCGTCCACCCTCTCCTGCACCCCCAGCAGTTTACTTTTGATGAACTCCAGCAGGGAGGTGTCTTGAGCAGCTCCTGTCTCCATCTTCCTGAGCATCCCGGCCTCGGTGTTCCGCTCCTGGCAGGGAGAGAGGAGCAGCCTGCGGTGAGAGGGGCTGGCACTGTCCTGGCACAGGGAGGCTCAGCAGGGCCAGGGTCTGTCCCAGGGGCCTTTGACCCCCAGCCAAGCCTGACGATCACAGCAAAGCCCCGTCCCACGTGTCCTGAGCACTTCTCCAGGCTGGGAGAGCTGGGTGTGTTCACCTGGAGAGGAGAAGGCTCTGGGGAGAGCCCCTTCCAGGGCCTAAAGGGGCTCCAAGAGAACTGGAGAGGGATTTGGGACAAGGGCCTGGAGTGCCAGGACAAGGGGGAATGGCTTCCCACTGCCATTAGGGTTAGATGGGATATTGGTGAGAAATTCTTGTAGTGCTGAGGCCCTGGCACAGTTGCCCAGAGCAGCTGTGGCTGCCCCTGGATCCCTGGAAGTGTCCAAGGCCAGGCTGGACAGGGCTTGGAGCAGCCTGGGCTAGTGGAAGGTGTCCCTGCCTGTGGCAGGGGATGAAACAGGATGAGCTTTAAGGTCCTTCCAACCCAAACCACTCCAGGATTCTGTGATTAAAGGAGTGAATTATCTCAAATATCATTGCAGCCCCTGAGCAGAGCAGCAAGACAACAGCTTGTTGTTGGCAGGTTGTAAGAACTTTGAAATCTTTCTTCCCTTGAACCCTGACAAAATACCTCCCTTTTAACTCTGCAAAAAGTCTGAAAATGAAAGTTAGAGATAATTCAGCTCAGGTCTGGTGAGTCCTTTAGCCATAACTGTGAAATATTTTGGGTTTAATTTTACCTTTAAAGAATCAATGAATAAACAATTTCAAAACAGGACTAAAGTATTTTTGTAACAAAACCAGTGGGGTTTGGCTTTGAAAACACCAAAATGATACATGTTAATTATTTTCCACCTTTTAAAATTTGTTTTAATGGGACAGAGTTGCTGGACTGCCTTCCTCCCTCCCACCCCTCTCCTCTGAGGACAGGTATTCCTTCCTTGAACACATCCCTGGCTCCAGGCCGTTCCAGCCTCTGGAGATGAGGTCTCACCTCTCCTTTCAGCATGTACCGAGGGAAGAAGAAGTAAGGGATGGAGGTGAGCACCAGGCAGCCCGAGGAGATGAGCAGCCCCAGCCACCAGGCTCCGATCCACCGCTGGTCGCTCGGCGTCAGCTCCACTGCCATTGCAACACACAAGGACACACTGTAAGAGCTCCAAGGGACAGATCTCCATGAAAATGTGGACTGGTGGAGGATGAAGAGTCCCTGTGGGCACAACCCAAGGGTCTCTCCTCTGGCATGTAACAGCAAATGGATGGAGGTGGGACTCCCACCGGTGTTGGCAAGACCGGCCCTGGTTGTGTTTGACCTGTGTCTTCCCTGGCTAGGAAAACAACCACTGCCACTCATCCCAACTGTACTGAGCCTCCCAGGTGACTGCAGGATGGATTTGGTCAGCATGGAAGCACGCTGGTGGCACAGGTTCACTCTAAGTCCCGAGCCAGCCAGCAAGGCACAGATTATGGGGGCCTGACTCCATCCTCTGCCTGGAGAACACAGTGGGTGGGACCATGCTGCTGACAGAGATGCTGAGCCAAAACAGGGACTGGGAAAGGCTGTGCTGCTTTCCTGGAAAAAGTTTCTCTCCATTGTTCCAGGCTCGGTCACTTTCTGCTCGCAGGGACCGAGGGAAGGCCCTGTGCTGGCAGAAGCTCCCGGTTTCCGAGTGGACCAAACTCCGGGCGCCTTCTCCGGAAAAAGGAGGAGAAGGTGAGAGCCACTGTGTCTCCAGGACACACATCCTTTGGCTGGGCCAAGTGATGCTCACGGGAGGTCTGACAGATTGCCTGGCTTGGCCTGGGGACACGGCTACCCACAGCCGGGATGTGGCGGCTGGGAAGGAACCACGGCCAGCTCTGGTGGGAGCTCCGTGCCAGGGGTGACAGGAGAGGAGCCCACACCCCACTGAAACAATCAGCCCACTTCCCCAAACAGGACCACTCCACTCTGGAGCTTGGATGTCATCATGGAGCGACCAGGCAGAGGCTGCTAAATCCGTCTGCCACCACGGGGAGTGGGCCAAGGCTTTTTGGCATTTCCTGCCCACGTTCATTTATTATTCTTATCAGGCACCGGACAAAAATGTCAGGCAGGCTCTGATCTCTCTAAGGAAACACAGGAAAAGCCACGTTAATGATGGAGCTGGGGAGAATTCTTTAGTGATTAAGTTACCAGAAATAATAAGCACATGTCATGGATAAAGCAAATTATCCCTGTGGTGGCGTCAGCTCAGCCCCTCTCTCTCAGGTGCTGGTTCTGGGGAGGAGGATGAGTACACTCAAGTTCTCTTTTTATCCACAGGGCAGTGATTTCTCTCTGGTTGTCTTCTCCTTCCCTGGATTCCTCATATTTCCCTGTTCCTCTCCACCACCACGCAGGGGTTGTGGGACACCTCCTCAGTGTTGTGGCAGTGGGTAGACCCCAGCCATGCCCTCCAGTGCAGCACCATGAGTTGGGCATTGGAATGTCCCTGCCCCGGGGCTCTGCTTCAGTGGTGGTGTCAGGACCACCTGTATCTGTCCTTATGGGGTGACAGAGTGGAGTATGCTGGGGGTGCTTTTCCAGGTCAGATCTTTCCAGGGCAGTGGGTTTTATGGGTCACAGGACTGGTGGCTTCTGTCACCTTTCATCTCAGAGTGACCTTCTGACCCACAGAGGGTCTTTAGGACGTCTGCTGTCTGAGCAATACTCACCAGTGTCAACCCTCCCAATATCCACGAAGAGCCGCAGCACCACGGATCCCAGCAAGTATCCAAAGGCAGGGCCAAACACAGCAATGGCAAACAGGATGGCTGGGAAAAGGGAGCAGAGAGAGCCCCTGTGAGCAGGGAAATGCAGTTTCCATGCAGATATGGCTTCTGTCTTCCCAGGAAATGCAGGAATGGTGGCACAACACACAGAGGGGAGAAAGCACCCTTCATCACCCTTCAGATGGTGAGAAGGTCCCCACTGCCCCAACACTGGAGGTGGTGTTTATCTGACAGGAACAGAGGGGGAAGGCAGCTGCCTGTGCACAAAGTCCCCCTGCTCTGCTGCCATCAAGGCTTTGCTGACAAAATACAAGTTGTCAGCTACATCAGTAATCTCCATGATATTCAGGAACCCCAGGGAGCAGCAGGGCACTGACATCCAGGGCTCACACAGGTGATTGAGACCTTCATGTCCTCTAGGATGCCGAGGAAACAAACACATCCTAATCCTCAGATCCAAGGAAAAATATTTGAACCAAAATATTTGGTTCAAACATCAGGTGAGGTGGACGATTCTGAGGACAAAAAGGCCACCAGACCACCCCGGGTGTAACTGAACCCTCCCATTCCAAAATAGATAACCCATAAGGTCGGGACATTTTCTTTTCATTTGTTTGCAATGACAGGATCCAAGTTCCCTCCTTGAGAGAAACTCTTTACACAGCTTTCTCAAGACGTTTAAAAGCAGGCAGTGAGCTTGAGCTGCATCAGACATGAAATGAAACGGGACTTGAGGAGAAGGAATTTCTGCTATATTGAGGCAACCCTGGAACCATCCACCCTGACAGACATTCCCACAGCCCTGAAGGGAGCACCTATATTAAAAACAACACACCAATCCCACTTTCCTTCCTCTTCAGAACCTTTCAGGTTCCTTCAGCCCTCTTTCCTTCAATTTCCTTGCAGATTTGAGAATTCTAAGGGATCAGTGGGACAATTCATTGGAAAGAAGAGGGAAGTAGAGGGAAGACAAGGATGTAGGAGCTTAGAGCAACTTGGGCTAGTGAAAGGTGTCCCTGCCCATGGCAGGGGGTGGAATTGGATGAGCTTTCAGATCCCTTCCAACCCAAACCAACCTGGGATTCTGTGAAACAAAACAGTGTGCAGCAATGGTCCCACGTACCAACATACAGTGGGGAATTGTTGGAGTCTGCAAAGTCGTCCACGTAGGATATCCCAAAGGGCTGGATGGGCACGGTGCCGATGCCAGCCAGCAGCTGGGCAATGACCATCATGGCCCACACACTGCTGGCCTCCTTCTCGGGGTCCCGGGTGGTGTTTGAGCACACAAATCTACTCTCTGCATAGCACAGCTCAACCTGCCCCTGGCTTTTGTTACCTGGAAGGGGAAAAAAATGAGCATTTCAACACTGGGTACATCCCCTGCCTCCTCCCACACTAAATCCTCAAATAGCAGGAATCTCCCAAACTCACTGAGTAAGCACAAACTGCTGGATTTTGGGTGGATTGCTCATTTTCTTCAGCAGTTCTCATCGCCTTGCCCTTCCTTTGGAGTATTATACTGAGGTCAGCAAACAACCAGGCTGTGATTTTAATCACACTTTCAAAGAGTTCATGCCATGGAGTGAGGGTGCTCTGGGTTTAATGAGGGCAAACTTAACCCATGGCTGGTTTTTCTGTCTGTGGTCTCTGCTCCCTTGTGGAGGGAGAGGCAGGAACAGGGTGCGATGCCCTCTGGGGTCAGCTGGCTGCCCTAAGCAGGACACCCTGCCCTGAATCCCTGCTGCACCATGGCTCAGGAGTAGCCCAGCTCCTTCCAAAACATGGCCCTTGCCTCTTGATACAGCCCAGACACCGGGGGTCTTCACCCTGCTCCAGACTGCCATGGAAACTCCAACCAGGACTGAAGTACCTTCAGGGGCTGTTCACAGACTGAGTGTGTTCTTTTCCATCAGGCATTCCTCATAATGTCAATATCTCTGCCCTGTCCATCTGTTTTTACAGTCCATCTCTAATCCTGTTTAGTTTAGCAAAGGTGCTCTGCAAGAATTGTGTTCTGTGCAGAACTTTTGGGTCATTTCCATTCTGCATGGAAAATAGAGCTGTCATTGTTCACATGAGCTTGTTCCCAAAGCCTTCCCAGTTAAAGCAGCAGCCTACCTTGGACTGGATCAGATCAGGATCCTGGCCAGAGCAGGCCCTGGGGACAGGGGGGCTTTGCTATATCACAGAATTCCAGAATGGTTTGGGTTGGAAGGGACCTTAAAGCCCATCTCATTCCACCCCCTGCCACGGGCAGGGACACCTTCCACTAGCCCAGGTTGCTCCAAACCCTCTCCAACCTGGCCTTGGACACTTCCAGGGATCCAGGGGCAGCCACAGCTTCTCTGGGCACCCTGTGCCAGGGCCTCAGCATCCTCACAGGGAGGAATAGCTTTCTGACATTTGATCTAAACCTACTCTCTCTCAGAGAAACTGTGGCTGCCTCATCCCTGGAAGTGTTCAAAGATGGACTTGGAGCAGCCTGGGCCAGTGGAAGGTCTCCCTGCCCGCGGCAGGGGGTGGAATGAGATGGGCTTTAAGGTCCCTTCCAACCCAAACCATTCCATGATTCTGTAACAACAGCTGGAATAACATGTGCAGGAGAAGCAGAAGAAACCCCACACATAATTTTTGCATTCAGAAAGGATTCCAAAGCTATAGCAATGTCAGGTTTAACCAGCAACTGCCCACCTTAAGGCTCTGCCTTCAACCACTGTTTGAATCACCCGTGCCCTGGAAACACCCCCTTTTTTTGGGGGCGGTCACATGCCCCCATCTGGAGCAGCTGGATCTGGGTTTGTGGGGCACAGCTGGGGGGCACTCACCCGTGCTGAGGGCAGTGTACTCGTAGGGGCCAGAGAGGAAGTGGGGCAGGGTGACCAGGAAGGCCCCCAGGGCCAGCAGCAGCCCCCCGACGCCGATGACGCGCGGGCGGTGCACGCGGCTGCCGAAGTAGCTGACGAAGATGATGAGCACCACGTTGCCGATCTGGAAAAGGCACAGAGAAGAGGGAGGAACGTGAGAAGACGTCACAGAGGACATCCAGGCCCTATGGCTGTGTCTGGGTGGGTTGATAGGGCTCTCATCAGGAGGAGTTTGGCGCTCACAGGAGCAGGAGCATCCCCTGGCTCTGCGTGCTCACAGCGCCTCAGTGCTCCCTTCTCTTCTCCAGCCACAGGGTCACTCCCTGGCCTCGGCCACCTCTGGGCATCCCTTGTTGGCATGAATGACATCACAGCCTCCCTGTGATTTGTCTGAGGCTCTTTAGCACCCAAACCTGCCCCTCACCCCATAGTCATCAGGGAATTGTTTAGGTTGGAAAAACCCTCCAAGACCATCAAGTCCAGCTGCTCCCCCAGCACTGCCAAGGCCACCACTGCCCCATGTCCCCAAGTGCCACATCCACACGTCTGTTAAACCCCTCCAAGAACGGGCACTACACTGCTGCCCTGGGCAGCTGTGTAAGGGCTGGACAGCCCTTTCAGTGAAGAAATTTTAGAGATTGACCAATGTGGCATAAACTGACAATTCCTCCAAAACCAGCAAGGAATGAAACATACTGCCTCCATTCCTGTGACTCAAACAGACATGAGCCTGCTACAAAGTCCAGCTCACTGCAAATGTTTATGACCCTGGGCATTTGCAGCTGCAGACAGCATCAACTAGAAAGCCATGAAACCACACAGCTCGCTCAGGCAAGTGGGTGAACACCACAAAATTCCCATTACATGGGCTTTAACAGCTCTAAACATCATTTTAACTTTGGCATGTTGAAGCTGTCCCTGCTCATTGCAGGGGGTTGAGCAAGATGGCCTTTAAAGGTCTCTTCCAACCCAAACCATTCTGTGATTCTATGTATGGCTAAGAAAACTTTGTATTTGTGTTTGTGTGGGCTCCATTGTTTGTCTCTTTGTGGGTTTTGTTCTTGGAATTGCTGTAGGCACCAACGCACTAAGATTGCTGTCCTGGACAGGCAGGGCACCTCACACAGTCACAGACAGCAGGAAGTCTCAGTGGGCCCTGAGACATCTTTTTAATACCAAATGTCCATGCTGGTTGAGGTAAGACTTGGGCATCCACTTCCCCGGGGATCCAGGAAGATTCCCAGGGTCCAGCTTCTTGGTGGAGCATCCCCTGTGCTCACCAGGGAGCTCACAAAAAAGTGTGTGCCCAATTGGTGTCAGCAAAAAAAGTCTCTGCCAGCAGGTCTTTTCCTGGCCTTTGTCAGGCCTTGAAGAGCTGCTAGGAAGGACAGAATTCCTAAAAATGTGAATGAGGAAACTTATTCCAAGGGATTTCTTGATAAGAAAGTGAGAAAATCCTCAGCCAGCTCAGTAATATGCCTTAAACTGCCAGAGGGCAGGGTAAGATGGGATACTGGGGAGTAATTCTTCCCTGTGAGTGTGCTGAGTACCTGGCACAGGGTTCCCAGAGCAGCTGTGGCTGCCCCAGGATCCCTGGAAGTGTCCAAGGCCAGGTTGGACAGGGCTTGGAGCAACCTGGACTAGTTTAAGGTGTCCCTACCCATGGCAGGGGGTGGAATGAGATGGGATGAACTTTAAGGACCCCTTCAACCCAAACCATTCTGTAATTCCATCCAGTGTAAGTCTGCTATTGTCCAAGAGCCATCACCACAGGACCTCCCCGTTCCCCCCCTGGAGGTGGCAGAGCAGAATGAGGTGTGACGAGGTGTGACAAGGTGTGACAAGGTGTGACAAGGTGTCCCAGAGCACAGCTGCTCCTCCCAGCACACGGAGGTTGAGGAAGCCCTGGGTGTGAACAGCCCTGAGACCCTGTTTTGGAAAGGTGCCCCCCAGGTCCTGCCCACCCTTTGGGTGCTCCTCTCCCGGTTACCTCGTGCAAGCTGGAGATGAAACCTGAGGAGAGGCTGGAGAGCCCAAAGCGCTTCTCGATGGTGGTGAGGCTGCTCTTGAAGTTGGCGCTGTAGAGGAGCTGGGAGAGCTGGAGGAGCCCATGGCACAGCACAAACACCTGTGGGCAAACAGAGAGTGCCACTCCAGTGAGGACCCAGCTGGAATCACAGACTCATTAAGGCTGGAAAAGACCCCCAAGGTCATCGGGTCCAACCTTTGACCAGGTACTGCCATGCCCACTAAACCATATGGAGAAGTGCCACATCTACTCACTGTTTGGACCCTTCCAGGGATGGTGACCCCACCACCTCCCTGGGCAGCCTGTTCCAATGATTAACCCCACTTTCAGCGAAGAATTTTCCCTGATATCCAATGTAAGCCTCTCCATGCACCCTTTGAGGCCATATGAGACCACAGTGCCCTGCTGCTGCGTAACTGCTGGTGACCACATCCTGCAGGGGTGTATTCCAGCTGGCTTTGGCCAAAGGCTGCACCTCTGGCATGGAGCATCCTGGGATTCACTCAGCTGGAAAGTCAATTAACTGAACCTGCTCCAAGGGGTGTTGCTAGAAAAAGTTGAAAAAGGGCGTTAAAAGCCCCAGAGGGAGAGGATGAAATATGCACAGCGTGGTCTCACTGCTGGAAGATTCCAAAATAGTATTCCAAACCCAGCATCTTCCCTTGAGCTGGGCAGTGAGCTGAGCCAGGAGCCAAGCTGAGCAGAGGCAGAGGAGGGAATACAGAGAGTTTGGGAGAAATCTGGCTGAAAGAGCCCGGGTGGGCTGCGAGAGGAGAGTGCTCTCAGCCAGGGATGCAAGAGGCAGCTCACAAGTGTCTTTTGATCTATATTTAGTCAGAACAGTTTTCCTTTATTTTTCTTGGAATGGAATGCTTCCACACGGTGCCAAAAGCATTTTAGAATCAATTTTTTAAAATCCCAACAAACAAATAATATAAAAAAAAATACAAATGGGGGAAGGTCTTTTAATTTAGATTCACAGGAAATCAAATATTTGCTGAATACCGGAAGAGTGTCCCTCAATGATAACGTCGGGAAGTGCGAGATGATGGATGGGGGATCAAAGGTACTGCAGGGCTGACAAATTCCTGGTGTTTTTGGCCAGAACAGCAGCAATAGTCCTTATGAGTATTTATCTGGAAGGGCGGTAGCACCCTGTAGCCCTGACCCATTAAATGATTTTAAAAAAATCAAAAAAGACCAGTTTGGAGGATGCAAATTCCATAAGTGGGTGGAGTTGTGTTTAGGGAGCAGGGGATGATACATGGCCAGGCCCAGCAATTGTAGCAGAATTTAGGTAGAAGATGGGCAAGAAAATGGTTTCTTGGGAGTCTTCTCCTGTGAAGGAAGAGAGATCCAGCCAAAAGATGTGGCTGGGAATCTAAAAGCAAAAGGGATGGGAGAGATGCTGACAGACAGAAAAAGAGAAGAGGATGGAGATGAAGGAGAAGGAGAAAATGGAGCCCCTGGCAGTGTGAGGGCAGGCTTGGAAAAACCTGGAGACCATGGGGAAGATGAAGGAGGAAGGCAAACACCCAAAAAACAAGGAAAGAAGGATCACAGGCACAAGCTGCCATCACGGAGTCCCCAGCCACATCTGGGAGGGGTGAGAGCAGACAGGCTGGCATCAGGCTGCATTGCCATTGCGATAACCAGGAGAGGACAAACTCCCAAGCCGGGACTTTGCCCTGACAAAAAAGCTGCAGAACAGGAATTTGGGGTGTAACGTGGGAAATCCTCCCAGACAGGGCCAAAGTGGAAGTGAAATATCTGCCAGTAAACTCTTGGAGCTGAATGACCTCTCCATCCTCCCACTATCAGCTCCCACACTTGAAATCCCATTCCAGGACAAAATCCTGTGGATGGAAGCTGGATCCACCACCTTGCCCAGGCCTGACCTGGAATCATTGCGGGCTGATCTGGAGCAGAGCGGTGGCTCCTGTGAGGATGGCAACTGGAGAGGGGATCTTGTGGCCAGAGAACATCAATTAGAGTCTCTGGCCAGACTCTACAGAAGCCACTGGAGCAAGGAAGCGCCGGCTGAAGAGCAGCGCTCCGGGAGCGCCCGAGCTGCAGAGCAGCTGGACACAGGGCTCTCCTGGAGCCAGGCGTCAGCTGCAGAGGCAAAGCTGTTTACCAACAGGGAGGGAAGAGGGTGGATCACCGAGGCCCAATTTAGCGCAGCAAATGTCAGCCTGACCCCAGGGCAGATGGGGACATGGATTGTCGAGGACAGAGGGGATGCTGGCACGGAGGGAAGATGAGCAGGCTGGCTCCCCAGATTGCTGGGGGTGGCAGGAGATGGGTTGGAGGCATGGAAGGACGATGGGGACCACGGCAGGAGAAGAGAGGGACAAGCCATGGGTGGAGAGGGCAGGGAGGAAGAGGCAGAGCTGCCAGGAGAGGGTCTGAGATGTGTTTGTGCCTTGGTGATAACCTGGGATGGCCAAAACGGAGCCCTGGATCCAGAGATGCCTGGGGACAAGCTGGGGCTGCCTGCCAGGAGGGAAGATGAGGTGGGAGAAATGCAGCTGGAGAGCACCAGCAAAGGGAGAGGAAAACCTCGGGGTGTGACTGCTTCCCCCTGCCCATGGGTCCTCCTAATCCAGCTCTTGTCTGCAGGATTAACCGGAAAGGCGGCAAAGCTGGATGGATCCTCCAGGGATGTGATCCCACCCTGAGACCACACAGCAGCCTCAGCCCTCGGATGTGCAGAGCCCAGAGAATGGGAGGGGAAGGGCAGGGGTGATTTATTTTTTTTTCCTTGGGAAGAACCTGCTACCCAAAACAGCCAGAGAAAGGCAAAACAACCTTTGCTCCAGGACTTGTGCGGCTGGAGCGTGGATTTTCCAGACACACTCCAAGTGTCTGGAGGGGAGATGAGGCCTGATTTCAAGACTTCCCCTGAATTCAGCAGACCGTTTTAATTATAGTAAGGACATCCCAAACCTTGAAGGCTCTGCGTGCAAAAAACTGGGAGAGGGCCTTACTTGGAGGGCTCCCCAAAAGGAGTCCATGCACCCCCTGAGGCTGGTGGACATGAGGGGCACCACTCTCCTGTGTCCCCTCACAGGTCCTCATGGGTCTCTCCCATCCCTGTCTCTCTTCCCATGTATTCCATCCCCATATGTGCATGCTGACCACCCACAACCTGCTGGTGCATGGAAACCAGCCCTGGCCTGGCCCTTCCAGCTGCACCAGATGTGCTGTGCTGCCCCACGCTCCCGCCGAGCAGCCCCAGGAGGGGAGGGAGCTGCCGTAATCCATCTTCCCTGATGACACGAAGGGGCTCTTAAGGAAGAGCCGAGCTCACTCGCAGGGAGGTTTCGCTGACGCAAAGCCGACACGAGGGCGAAGGCACGGTGGGAGGTTGAGGAGCCGGGGGCACTCCCAAGTGCTGACCCTCCGGAGCACAGGCTCCCACGGGAGCCTGGAGTATTTTTGGAGCCGCGGGCAAGGAGTGATTGCAGACAGGCAGGGAGCAGCACAGGAAGGCCAAAGGCGTGCACCCACGTGGACCCCCCCAAAATCCCCTCGTTTCGGAGCAATCCTGACCCCAGGCTGTTTATACAAGGCACTTGACTCCTTTCCAAAAGGAGCTGCGTTTAGAAGGGAAGCAAACTCCTGGGGGAGACAGGCTGCTGCCCCCACCCAGCTCGTGGGGACCAGCACCTCCCAGGGCAGTGCTTTTTCCAAAGGAAGAGAAACCCATCCCATGGCAGAGGAGGGGGAGGACTGGTCCTTCCATGCTCTGGACAATGGGGAACTCGCAAGGATTTGGCCAATCCCAGCCTAAACTTCCGCCTGAGATGTGTCCAACAAATACTCAGGTTTCATTTCATAGGTGTGAACCATCTCTATGGAGCCCCCAGGGATCTCCAGGAGTCAGGATAAGGCTCTTCCAGGCGGGAGCCTAACTCTGCTCTGCAGGGACCACAGCTTTGGGAGGATCCTGCTACATGTGGCATGGCCATTGCTCCACCTGGAGGAGTGAGTTAAGGGTATTAATTAATAAGGGTATTAATTCCCTGCTCTGCTTCCACAGTTCATGTCCCAAGTAATCTCTCACCTCATTTTTCAGTGTCTTCCCCATGGCAGCCCTGGTTGGAGATGAAGAGGGTGGAAAAGTTGACGGCACTTGTGCTAATCTCTGCTGTGTCCGGCATCTTTCCCACAGCAGTGGGGATGGAAAGAGCCAGGGCTGTATTCATTAGGTGGACACAAGGATTGCCTGGAGAGCTTCAGACCCTCACAGAACTTATCCAAGTGCTCCCAGGTGATGGGTGACACCAAAGTAGGACGTGGCCAAGAGCAAAATTAATTTGGCTGGAGTAAACCTTTGGAAAGGACTAGGAGAAAGGATGCTCCATTTGTTTTTCCCTCTGCAGAGTACAGTTGGAGTTGAGTCCAAAGCAAAATTGTTTGACCCAAGTGGAAAGTCAGAAGACTTTCATCCCAAAATCAGGGAACATTCTTCCCAAAGCAGGAGACTCCAAGCTGCCCACCTCTGGAGTCTCCCTCCACTTTAATCTCCTGAGCTTGCAAGAGAAAAAAAAAAAAGGAAAAGGACGGGGGAACTCAAGGAATTAATAAGAATAGCCCCAAAATGTTAAGAGGGAGAAGACAGAGTGTTTACTTTAGAGTAGTAAGATAACTCTTACTACACTGGGAGATCCTCCTGCAGTAGGACAGCTGAGGTCACTCAGTCCAAAAGAAATATATCAGCTGGACATGGAAAGTGTAGGGTTAGGGTTAGGGTTAAATAGAGTGGGGAAATACATTCCTCCTTGGCATCACTTTCCTATGGGCAGCTGCCTGGATTTGTAGATCAAAAAGTACCATGAAAGATGAAAGAAAGCACAGCATTTCCACAAAGGGAACCAAACACCCTGCACAGAGCCCATTCTTTAGCACAAAACCTCTGAGCCTGGTCTGGTGGCAGAAGCTGGCTTCTCAGTGGGATTTCTATTACAAACAATAAAGTAATAAGAAAATTAACCTGATCAGGGGTTGCCTGAAGCACGCTGGAATGACGACTGTCTACTGCCAAGCCACGCACGTTTTACACCCCCGGCTGTCACGTGCAAAGACAATATTTG